TCAAGGCACCCGAGGCTACCCCCAACCTTCACATCTTCAACCAGTCTCTCTTCGTTCGTCAGTACAAGTTCCAGCAGCACGCCTCTCCTCATTGGCTCCTCCACCACTTGCATCAGAAAGTTATCATCGATGCTCTGCAGGAACCTCCTGGATTGCGTGTGCCTAGCTGTGTGGTCTTCCCAGCAGATGTCAGGGTGCTTGAAGTCCCCCACAAGAACCAGGGCCTGTGACTGTGAGGCTACTTTCAGCTGCCTGTAGAAGGCCTCATCAACTTCCTCTTCTTGGTCAGGTGGCCTGTAGTACACACCCACAATAATGTCACCCATATGAGCCTGTCCCTTAATTCTAACCCTTAAGCTCTCGACTTGCTCTTCCTCCGCCCCAGGCAGAGCTCAATACATTCCAGTTGCTCCCTCACATACAGAGCAACTCCACCACCTCTCCTTGTTGGCCTGTCCTTCCTAAAGAGTGTGTAGCCATCTATGACAGCATGCCAGTCATACGAGCTGTCCCACCATGTCTCTGTAACTTTAATGAGATTATGGCCTTGCGAACGCCCACAGATCTCTAATTCTTCCTGCTTATTGCCCATGCTGCGTGCATTGGTGTACAGACATCTCAGGGAGGACCTCAAGCATGCTGGTTTCCCTGGGTGCAAGAGGATCTGCCATGTCCATGCCCACCCTTAAGGTTGTTGGTCTTCCGCTTCTCAGCTTGGGACACAGCTGAGGAACATTTGTTACTTGTCTGATTGGTCACACTTAATCCCCAGACAGATGGGATGGCTTGAGCATTGTCTTAGTTTTCTAAGGTGACATATGATTTCCTGATCAAATCAGTTAATATCCATTAAGTGAGGAATGCACAAATGACCACATTTTTTGAGGGCTGCAAGTCTCACTGACAGTGACAAAAGCCTCAGGATAAATCATCGGTTTGGAGCAGATGACAGAAAAAATTAACTAAGAAGGGAGAGATTTGGATTCACTGTTTTAGAATTATATTCTTGTTATCATACAAACCAATTACAGAAAACACTTGCAATGAAAAGCACCAGGAACTGAGCGGTAACCCAATATGTAATGTCAGTTACAAGGAACCATGAAAAAGTTGCATCTAAGAGCACACTTGACTTCTGAGGCTTTGTTAACCACGTACAATCAATGTATGGAAAGACCTAGTTCATTTGTAAACATGAAACTTTAAAAAAACAAAAAAACAAAACACTCTGAAAAGCATAACATTTCAAAACATCTGAATGCCTTTTGTGCTATATGATCCTCACTGTACTAGGGCATAAAACCTCCTGTTGAATAATGATTCATCTACTGAAATGTTATTGAGGCATATGGGATCTTGATGGGACAGAAAAGGAGTGTCTATAGCATTGCACTTGCTATGATCCTTCATGCCAACCTTTTTGCTTTAATACCCAATGTCAACAATGTAGTGTCTCATGAAGATTTGCAATGTACATAAGTCTTCAATACAACAGAACATTTTCTAGAAATATTCGTTAAATACCCTGTGATTTAATGGTAAAGACATCAGCCAGTGTTAATAAACACCACCTGGATTCTGAAAAGCTAATCCAGTGAGAACTGTGAATGCTGTCAATGAAGCCAAAGATCTACAAACACTGCTTTACCTAAGCCTCAAATTAGGCTTTTATTGCTTAATAGAATAATAATAAAATGAATCAAACATTAATCTAAACCGAAACTACATTATTGTCCTTCAAGGCTTACAGAGTCTTAAAAGCTCTCAAATCAGCACCTCTGATAAACTGAGTTCCTGAAAATAAGAGGTTCTTTAGCACTAGTGACATATTACGAGTCCCAGAACGATTAATGACCAAATTATTTATAAAAAAGGAAAAGATGAGTGCCATCTATCCAATACTGTATATCACTTTAACCAGTGTCAAATATTTTATTCCTACAGAATCTTCAGGCACAACAGAACTCCAAACATCAATCTTCCTTGGCTCTGCAAACCAGGGAAGTCCTGCAGCTCACATTTTTAAAATAACCTAAACTAGTCATAGTCATCTAAATTATGAAGACCTTTAAGATCAAGGCAGTCTCAATAGCTGTACTTTCCATATTAAAAATACAAATTTGAGCCCTGCCAAAGGCTTCATAGATCTCCCACATCAAGTTCTGCTTCCCTCACTGGACTCAATCTTTGCGTCAATTGTTCTGTCTCTTGTGTCACAGGTCATCACACTCTGACACCAGTGAAGGAGGGATTCCTGTCTGCTTCATCAGAATGGCACGTATCTGGATTGAAGGACAAGATGGAGGAGCAGACCGCAAAATTCCTTTCCAAAGAATATAAAAAAAGCTAGAAAAGATGTGAACCTTACTTTCAAATTATTCCGTCACCAGGTAAGACTCAGCGAGGTAAACTGCTGGGACATTTTCACACTTTGTAAGAAATACCACTGTTACAATAAGTACGTCATAGTGTGAACACACAATACTATATTAGGTTTATTTATTGCCTGCCAACTTAAGCTAGTGTTAACCTGAAACTCAAGCTAAAATTGGGGTCACAACGAGAAATTGTGTTAAATTAGTTCTAGTCGGAGTTTATATTTCAAATAATAAAAAAAGAAGTCTTCACTCTCTCCCCAAATCAAAGCCTTCTTTTATCCTTTGGCTTTTACAGAAAAAATATTCTAGAAATACGTAACATCCATATTAGCATTTATTTTTTGTCAACTGTCCAATTCTTATCTGATGAATTCAACAGCATAGAAAGGCAGTTGGAAGGAATGTTTTATAATGGATACTTCTTATCTTCAGGGAAATATTTTATTTAGACTAAATAGTTCCTGACATTTCACTAATGATTTTATGAAAAACCTGACCTTTGTTGCCTTCCTCTTTAAAGTGCATAGCGTAGTCAACTACCAGGAACCACTCAGCCATAGGCTGGGAACAATGCCAATATAAAGATTAAAACTACTAAGAAAAAGTCTCTTTTGAAAAAGTTTGCCATGTGTAGTCTAATATTCTATTTGAACTTTATAGGTATACATTTATGTCGCACAAGAGCTGAAGTCAGAACTCCAAAAACATGACTCAAAGGTCTCAGTCCTGCGTTACTTACACTCTGAGCAACAGAATGACAAAATGCAAAAAACAATAA